CACACACACACACACACACGCACCGGGCCCACCCCGCCTCTGTTTTCCATGTGGGAAGTAGGAGCACTTCCCACCACGCTTGATTTGACTTGAATTTGTGAAATACATTCACTGAAGGTGGAGAAATGGGGGCTTATTGGGAAGAGTGGCCCCCGTGAGCACGGAGTGGGGTCAGCCGAAACACGTCTTGACCAGACCGGGGACAGGCCCCTGGCCCAGGGACGACGCTCCGGCCACAGAAACGAGCGGCCCCTCTGCCTGGTGCTCCTTGCACAGCTCTGCACACCCCATGGCGCCCTGTGCACCCTGCATGGCCCTGCACACCCCATGGMGCCCTGTGCACCCCGTGCAGCCTCAGGCACCCTGCATGGCCCCGCACAGCCCATGCTCCCCGAGCAGCCCCCCCGGCCGCCAGCGGGCACTAAGAGGCTGCTGGAGGGGCAGGGGCTCTTCCAGCCCGGCCAGCTGCTCCGAGCAGCAGCCCCGTGCAAGCCCCAGCAGCGGCACTTTGCTCTAGAGGCCCAGGCGTTGGGTGTTTCAGTGACACACAGCCCTGCTCCGAGGAGGGGACACGTGCAAGCTGGCCCAGCTGAAACCTGCGTAAGGACCAGCAGGTGCCCAAGGGTTTTCAGTGCCACTGCCCCAGTCTTTGGCAAAACCAAGGGGCTCCCGCTGCCTGCAGCCACAGCGCACGGCTGCTCCGTGCAGGGGCTGGACGGAAGCGCCGGGACCGCCTGTTCTCCGGCCCTGGGTTCCAGCTCCCCCGTGTGCGGCACAAACCAGCCATCCCCAACACACCCTCCTGTGGCGAGAGGCAACAGGGACAGGGCCGCTGGGACACGCAGATGGCAGCGGGAGGGGTTGGACCCTTCCCAGGCCCCAGGCCGCTTCCATGGGCTGCTCCGTATGGAGCAGAGCAGCTCAGGGCCCTGCAGCGCCCACCGGGTCCCTCCTTGGTGACAGTGAGGCAGCGCGGGACACCACCACCCAGCGTGGGAAAGATGCCATCAGCCCAACACTGGTCTTATGTATTTATTCCTTTTTTTTGGTTGTTTTTCTGTTTTTAAAGGTCAACATATTCACACAGCTTTAAATACACCCTCCAACACAACGTTCCAGTCCAGCTTTCCAGCGAAAGCAGCAGCAGCACAAAYGCGTGCGCTGGCATCCGCCGCCAGCAGCCCGGGCGCCGCGGTGCCGACAGCTCCTGCGAAGGGAAATTCACACATTTAACACCTCCCCAGCCAACAGCTACCACGTCAAGGCAGAGGAGGAGGCAGCCAGGCTGACACAAGCCCTGCGGAGCACGAAGGAGCCGAGCAGGGACTGGGAGCCAGCAGGGTTCTCACCTTTATTCCATGCACTCTTGGCGCAGGGAGCAGCACACGTGCCCAGCTCCCCGCTGAGCTGCGGCGCTGCCGCCGATGTGGGAGGGTGCAGGGCAGCGGGACAGGGGAGCAAGAGGGACAGGGGCCGGCTAGCGGGGCTGCCGCTCCCGTCCCACCCGCAGCCGGTAGCCTCGGACCTGCCCGTGCCCTGGCCCAGGGTTCCTCCTCGCAGGGGGCCGCCCCGCGGGACGGAAGCGGCCCTGGGGTCACCCGCTGCGTGCCRGGATCCGGGGGCAGAGCCCAGGGCCGGAGCGGTCGCGTGGGCAGCCGGGCGGCCCCCGGGCGCCCGCCCAAAGCCGGGCACTGCCCAGCGCCCTCCCTGTGCTCCCCGACGCTCGCTGAAGGACGATGCTACTCACTCAGCTTTGAAGAACTGTTTTTATTCATAAACATCCTTTTTATCTGCAATGTAGTCTACTATCTCCTGTGGACACATTAGCTTCTCTGCGTCTCCGTCAGGAATCTCGAATCCTGTAAGGAAGCACAGGCGCTCAGTGCAAGCGGCGGGAGCAGGGCCAGGGGGCCAGAAACCCGCGACGAGGATGAGGATGAGGATGGGGGCGGCCTTCCAAACACCCGGCCGGGACGCCGAGCGCCGGCTCTGCCAGGCGCTGCAGCAGGGCTCAGTGGGGCTGGCGCTGGGGGGCACTGGGAACCCCGGAGCGCCGGGGGGTCCCGCACCATGGGGGGCTCCGCCGGCCGCCGCAGGCCTCGGGCCGGCCGCACTAACGGCCCCGGCGCAGAGCCACCGCGTCCGTCCCGCGCGGAGCCGCCTACCGAACTCGTCCTCCATGGCCATGATGATCTCCACCTGGTCCAGGCTGTCCAGACCCAGGTCCTTCATGAAGTGGGACTCGGCGGTGAGCTGCGGGCACAGAGGGCGGCGGTCAGGGCCGGAGCCCCGGGCGCSCGGCGCCCCCGGCCCCGCACTCGCCTTCTCGGGGTCGATCTTGTCGTAGAGCTTGAGCACGTAGAGCACGCGCTCCTTGATGCCCTCCAAGGTCAGCGGCGGCAGGTCC